CCCCAAAACCCCAAAACCCCAAAACCCCAAAACCCCTGATATTACTAATTTCATTGAAACTAGTCATACTCAATATTTGAAGCAGAGACTATACAGGTATTATGGAGCCGCTTCAGCGTTTAGCAAGAACTAGAAGGAAAATTCTCTCTTATGCGGTGAATTTTTTTTAGATTTTATCATAGTTTTTTTGGTATTTTAGTGAAATTATAGAGTCCTCTAATGAGAACACAGTTTTAAAGAGAGTTTTTGCTCTTATTTTATAGTATTTTTAGGGATTTATTATTTATTTAGCTAATATTCTGATCTTAAAAGATCACAAGTTGTTGTACTAGAAAGAGAAATAGCTCTCAAGGTATCTAAATTTACTCAATTCCTAAATTATCTGCCCAAAATTAATCATGGATAAAATTATTATGAATGAGGAACTGTGAATCTGAAAGGTGTGTCTAGAAAATAAGATCCACATTCTAGTTCTTCAGTCAGTTCAAGCTCCTCGAATATGTGAGAACCCAAACAACCATGTTGCAATTAAATTCTCAAAGTATTGAATAGTTCTTTGGAATATTTAGAAAGAAGAATTTGTTCATAGCCCAAAAAGAGTAATTATTTTGAAATTATATGTAAGAAAGCTTAGATTTAAGATCTCCTTTTTCCTCTGCCTCTCTTGTTCTGGTTCTTGATTCCGAAGACTGGTTCTCCACAAACGGTTCTAATACCAGAGTTCTGGTTGTAAGTAGCGTCGAAGAATTGTCCGAGAGTCTTCAAGTCGTGCTCATCTTCTTTCTTAACTTCAGTCAAAGCAATACAGGTAGCGGTCTTCTGATTGACAATCTTTCCAAGTCTGGCTTTTCCCTTAACGAAACAGTATGGGACTCCCATCTTTCTGCACAAGGCTGGAAGGTGGATCATCAATTCAATTGGAACGACATCATGAGCAATAGCAACAATTTGAGCTTGCTTGTTCTCAACAAGAGTGGTGACATGGTTTAATCCGAATTTGGCAACCAATGGCTTAGATCCCTGAGCGGCTTCCTTTCCATCGGCCTTGGCCTTAGCCTCTTCCTTAAGCCTCTGTCTCTTCTCAATCTTGTTCTCTGGAGTATACTTAGAGAGGAGCTTGAAAAGCTTGTTAGCCTGGTCTCTCTCTAAGGTGTGAGTGAACTGGTTGATGGCTCCTGGAACGGATAGTCTCTGGAAGATAATCTTCTTCTGCCTATAATCAACGATTTATATTAATTCTCATAATTCAGGGAATTCAGAGTTTGGAGAAGATTCATTGAAATATCCAAATTTTACTCAAGCTGCATGATCAATAAGGTTACTAAAATGAGTTGCAAAAAGTAATGTAGGTCAGAAGGATATCTTACCTCTGAATTCTCACATATCTTGGCCACTTGACAAATCTTGAGAGATCTCTCTTATACTGAATATCTCCGCCAATTCTGAAGTTCTTCTTTTTCTTCTCCAAAAGATGATTAGGGAGGGAACCCTTGTTTCCTTTACCAGCTGGAGTAGCGACTACTCTCTTAACTTTGGCGAGCTTCTTAACCTATATTCCAGGTTTAAACAACGCTTGCCAAGTTAACGCCTTACCATTTTTATTTAATAAATAATAATTATTAACTTCTAATCTCCCTATTTATACACTCCAATTCTTATCCCAGAAAAGGGGTTTTGGGGTTTTGGGGTTTTGGGGTTTTGGGGTTTTGGGGTTTTGGGG